TTTTTAGCACTAGTTTTATAATTTTACATGTTTCATATGTTAGTTCATACTATCTTAAAATATGATGTTATTAAATTTATCTTTTTGTCTTCTGGTCCCCAGGTATCGGATCTTTGCTTTTGATCATGACCTTTTTAGCTTTGCAGATTTAACGTTTGGCATGTGGCCTGTTGTTCTAATCACTAACCCTAAGTCACTTCTCTATAGTTATGCAAAACATGAACCTCTAGAAAGAATCCTTCACTCAACACATATCAGGTATGTAGCAGTTTTTCAGGGTTTACTATCAGTTTGATATTGATAGAGAATAATTTAGTATGTCTTTGTTCTGATGGGAATATGATAAGACGCCTCACTTCAATTTTCTTAACAACCTAAGCATTGTGTGAATGACTTAACTGGTTTTTTCCTCCACTCAGTTAAAAAATACATATTTTTTTAACTGATAGTGCTTTTAAAATCACCCAGAAGCTCAGTCACCTATCATTATTTTCATATATTTTATTCCAGCCTTTTTATATGCACACTGTGCATTGCTTAAAACATAATGAACACATTTATTTTCTATTCTGCTTTTAAAAATTCACATTACACTTCAGAATTTTCCCCCTCTTGCTCTGTAGCCTTCTAATAAAAGCAAAGGCTGAATAAATATTATAGAATTAAACATTAAATTGACACATGAATATGATATATTAATATATTCTTATTAGGTTATTAAAATTTCTCTTGGGAAGAGATATATAACTTCTTCCAAGTATAATGGCAGTCTTGAAAAATATTCTTATTTTGAGGAGAGAAAATAGAATGATAGGAATATAGACAATATATGCTATATTTCTTCCCCCTAATAGAATTACTACTAACATTTCTAAGTTTTTCTCCTTAGGTCTCTTTGTGGGCATGTTTTTGTATTGTAACCATAGGGCATGCTTTAAGATCTCTAGTGCTGTCAGTGTTAGGATATTAGTGGTATGCCAACTGAGGGAGTCCAGATAGTATTAATATAATTTAAATTTATGTGCCAACTACTAATGCCAAAGATTAAAAAATTGAAGATTTTACCAATTTTTGCATCTGAAATGGATCAAATGTGCAACTAAGGTACATTGATAATATCTGGTGATTAGAATGCAAAAGTGGGAAGATTAAGGACCAGCAGCTGGAAAATAATGGCCTTATTGATTGAAACTAGGCTAGATTCACGTGAGAGAATTTTGCAGAACCAATGACTTATTCAACAATATCTTTATTTAACAACTTAGGCAGAAGCCATACACATGGACCTTACCAGATGGAATACACAGGAATAAAATCTATTATATCTGTGGAAAGAGACAGTGGAGATGCTCAATATCCTCAGTAAGAACAAGACCAGGGACTGATTATAGAACTGACCTTTGATTTCTTATATTTAAGTTTTAGTAGAGGCTATAGATAAGTAAGACTGTCCACTAAAGCCAAAATACAACCTTGAATATATCCTACCTGAATTTAGAGTTGACACATGAAACACAAATTACTGAAGACTAGTTAATTTGTTGGATGATATAAGGGACATTATACTTGAAGAAAATGAAGAGACATTTAAAAATACCAACAAACCAAAAAAAAATAAAATGCCAACAAACCAAAAACCAGGAAGGACTAGAAGACCAAAATGAATATTTAAAGCCAATGAGGAAAAAATGATGAAATAAAAACCAGACAAAAGATTTCAAAGAGTGGGTCAAGAAAACAAAGTATTATAATGAAAAGGATAAAGACCTCAAAGTTAGAAAATCAAAAGGGTAGATGAAGCCTTGGGCATTTCTGAATCTGACAAAAAAGAAAGAAGAAATTCAAACCCTGAGTTTCAGTATTGAAGGATTCATATTTAATAACCCTAGAAGAATCAAGAGATGGAAGAAATATAAAGTACCCAAAAGAATTAGTCAATAGTTTGGCTTTTCAGGAAGTCGCATATGATCAAAACCCAGTGGTACTAGTGAAAGAAGTTCAAGATACCATGATGGCATTGATGATAAAGAAGTCTCTAGGAACTGACAGATTATCAGCTGAGGTGTTTCAGCAAACAGATGCAGTACTGGATGTGCTCTTTGTCAATGCTAAGAAATCCTGAAGACCAACCAACTGAGGGAGATCCGTATTTGTGCCCATTCAAAAAAAAAAAAAAAAGATTCAGGGTTGTGCGATCAGATCGATCTAATATGGCAACTGTGGAACCGGAAACCACCCCTACTTCTAATCCCCTGCCTACAGAAGAAGAGAAAACAGATTCTAATGAGGAGGTTGCTAATCCAGAACACTATATTAAACATCCATTACAGAACAGATGGGCACTCTGGTTTTTTTAAAAATGATAAAAGCAAAACTTGGCAAGCAAACCTTCGGCTCATTTCTAAGTTTGATACTGTTGAAGATTTTTGGGCTCTGTACAACCATATCCAGTTGTCTAGTAATTTAATGCCTAGCTGTGACTACTCACTTTTTAAGGATGGTATTGAGCCCATGTGGGAAGATGAGAAAAATAAACGAGGAGGACAATAGCTAATTACTTTGAATAAACAGCAAAGATGAAGTGACCTCTATGGCTTTCGGCTAGAGATGCTGCTGTGCCTTATTGGAGAATCTTTTGATGACTATAGTGATGATGTATGTGGAGCTGTTGTTAATGTTAGAGCTAAAGGTGATAAAATAGCAATATGGACTACTGAATGTGAAAACAGAGATGCTGTTACACATATAGGGAGGGTATACAAGGAAAGGTTAGGACTTCCTCCAAAGATAGCAATTGGTTATCAGTCTCATACAGACACAGCTACTAAGAGCGGCTCCACAACTAAAAATAGGTTTGTTGTTTAAGAAGACACCTTCTGAGTATTCTCATAGGAGACTGTGTCAAGCAGTTGAGATTTGGGAGCTGAACCAAAGCCTCTTCAAAAGCAGAGTGGACTGTATTTAAATTTTATTTCCATCTAAATGTTGCTAAGATATAAGAGAAGTCTCATTCACCTTTGTCTTGTACTTCTGTGTTTATTTTTTTTCTCCATTTTTTGGCTAGAGTATCCAGTATCCCAATTACAGTATACATTGTCCCCAGAATACATAAATATGTTCCTAAACCCACTCTGTAATAGCTTAGTAGAATTCACATTATAAAACATTTACCCATCCATCCATAATATTCAAAACAGAACTTGTATTTCCGTATCTTACAGGAAAAACAAAATGTTTATGTACCATTATATACAGAAGCATATTTTGCTGGTTTGAAAGAGTATGATGCATACCATTTTCTAGCATTTTTCTTTGTTTCTTTTTACAGCATTGTTTTGGCTGTATTCTTGCTGATGGCTGCTAGATTTTAATTTATTTGTTTCCCTACTTAATAACATTAGTGATTCTGATTTTGGTTTTTCATTTTGCTTTGCTCCATCTCCTTTATGTAACATTAGTGAAGGATCCAGGAATATGACACAAAGGTGGAATAAACATTAATTTTGTGCAAAAAAAAATCAGCAAATATGGATATTAGAAAACACTAATCATGTATGAGTAAAATTTTGCCAGTGACACTTAAAAAAAAATGGTTGCAGTAGTACATTGCCAGGGAACTGCCAGGAACTCAAGCCAAATTTAGAAGAGGATGTAGGATGGGGGATATCTTTGGAGGTGTCATGTAGTCTTGATTGAAAACAGAGAATACCAGGATGATGTTTACCTTTGTTTTATTGCTTATGAAAAACATTCAGCTATGTGGATCATAAGAAAGTATAGATAACATTGTGAAGAATGGGAATTTCAGAACATGTAGTTATGCTCATGTAGAACTTAGACCAAGAGGAAGTCCTTAAAACAACAAGGTGATACCATGTGGCTTAAAATTAGGAAAGATATGTGTCAGGGTTCTATCTTTCACTATACTTATTCAATTTAAAAGTGGAACAAGTAATTTGAGAAGCTAGACTATATGAAGAAGAACATGACATAAAGGAAGGTTCATTATGGAGCAGTGACATGCAAATGTTACAACCTTGCTTACTATAAGTAAAGAGGATATGATGCACTTACTAATGAAGATAAAAAACTATAGCCTTCAGTGTGGATTATTTGTCAATATAAGAAACCAAAACTCCCCATAACTGAACTAATAAGCACCATCTTAATAAGTGGAGAAATGTTTGAAGCTATCAAGGATTAAATTTTGTTTGAATTAACAATCAAGTCTTGTCGAAGTAGCAGTCAAGAAATCAAATGATGAATTGCATTGGTGCAAAGACCTCTTTAAGTAGGAAAACACCGAGATTTCATTTTGAGGACTCTAGTAGTTTCAATACTATGGCTGCCTAACCCAAGCCATAGTATTTATCTGTGCTTGTGAAGGTCAGTAGTCTAATGCCATGTCTAATGCATGTAAATACTGGACTATGAATATGAAAACGAGGAGTTGATGACTTGGAATTATAGTGTTGGTGAAGAATATTGAAAAAGTATGGATTGCTAGAAGAATAAACATGTCTGCCTTAGAAGAAGTACTATCAGAACATTCTTAGAAGCAAAGGTGGTGAGACTTCATCTCTCATTCTTTGGGCATGTTATCAGGGGGTATCAATCCCTTTATTATTGAGACATTATGCTTAGTAAAGTAAAAGTTTGATGAAAAAGAACTTCAATAAGTTGAATTGACACAGTGACTGCAAAAATGCGTTCAACAGAGCAATGATTGTGAGAATGCAGCAGGACAAGGCTGTGTTTTGTTCTGTTGTATAATAGAGTTGCTGTGAATCTGAACCAATTCAACAGTACTTAATAGTAACAACAATCTTAGGCATGGTATATGTTAGGGACTCTATGAACAAAAGACCTAAGGCCTTTCCATAACTATCGTCATTTTTCCAAGTTCATAGAATTTCCAGAGGCATGTGGTTTAAAGTGGATGCCACTCCTGCTTCCAAACCTGTTTTACAACTGGGAGCTCCACCAAACACTGTCCATATTGGGGAACCATTCTGGTATTTGATACCCCAATGGTACAAGGTACAACATCACAGCAAATCCAGGTTACTTCAAGCTGCACATTGATAAAGAGTGATGTGCAAAGTGGAAGAGTGTTCCTCCGGATATAACAGCACTAGTTTCACTTAGTGGTTAAGTGTCATCAAGTCAAATACAACTGAGAGTAAGCTTTGCACAAAAGACCTGAACTCAGGGGAGCTCTGGTGGCCTAGTGGCAAGGAGCTTCAACTACAATCCGAGAGGTGCATGGTTCTAATCCACCAGATGCTCTGCCGGGGAAGGAGGGGCAATCTCCTCCTGTACCAGTCAGATCTGATTTGACGGTACACGCACACAAAAATAATAAAGTAAAATAAAAAAAATTAAAAAAACAATTAAAAAATAAAAGACCTGAACTCTATTCTATAACATCATTTCTGTACAGAACTCTGTTCTATAACTAACATCACTTCTGTACATATATAGAGCTTGTAGAGTTCAGACAGTTTGTAGAGTTTCTAGAGGCATCTAATTTAGGATGTAGATGCCACTCCTGCTTCCAAGGATTAATCAATCTGGAAGCTCATCCAAACATTGTAGATAATGGGCAGCCATTATGGTATTTAACAAGACTATGGAACAGTGTTCAGCATCACAGCAACACCAAGTTTGTTCAGTTCAGCAAATAGACAAAAGATTGCTGTATCATTTAAGGAATATTTGTTTGAAAAGTAATACATTTAAGTTATAAATTTCTCTTATGTAACCTACAGGACTGCCATCAAGATGCTTGCTAGTAGCCAAACTCCCAGAGTGGAGGCATGGTATACAGTGATTCTTTTAATAATTGCTTATCATTCCAATGGAGAATGTAGTACAATTATCTGACCATATTCCTATCTTTTTGGTGAACTTTTAGGTTGTTTTTTTAAAATTATTTTTCATTTTGGGTGGTCCTTTGATGCATATAGAGTCTTCACTGAAATAATTTCTTTTAGAGTTCTAGACATAGGATTCTAAGAGTTTGAACTCCTTTGTAACAGTTAATAAGAATTGCCAGTTACTTTTAAAACAAGTTTACTAATTAATTTCTAATGTTCCCGAGCAACATGAGAACCACCAGTTTAACAGTATTCCTATAATTACCAAAGACCCCTCTGAGTTAAACATTGTTATAATGGGTTAAACCTTCCAAGCCCACTATCCACTCAATTATAGAAAGATAAAGCAATCAACTTCCATGAAGACCAGCCTCAGAAACTCTATGGGCATGTCTCTCCTGACTTTCATAGCCACAGTTGGCTCATTGGCATGGGCTTGGTTTGTTTGTAAAGGTATATTTTTCACTAATTAATTTAGACATTTCACTAATTAATATGAAATAAATTGTACTAGGCTCTTAAGTTTATATAATTTCACCTATTTATAATGTTATATATTATTAAAATAGTCATTAAAAGAGCTACTATAAAAACATTTAACAAAAATATAATGTTGCAGGGGAAGTAACAATTAGAATATACCATGCTTTAAGATTTTTGTTACTGTTAAGCTATTTATATTTTATAGATTATATATAACTTATATACTGTAATCTTAAATTTATATAATTGTGATCGTTATTGAAGTGGAACTCACATGTTAGGCTTATGATGAGAGCTGGATATCAAACTTAGAAATTCCTTTCTCTAAGGAAAACCTTTCTCTTTATATAATGTTACTTTCTCCGGGTAGATATGCTAGGAACCACATGAGGAGATTGGGAAAAAAAAAAAAGCACAAACCAACCCAATAAAAATCAACCAAAACCCGAAACTCAGACTCATTGCTTTCAAGTCATAGCTGACTCATGGCTGACCCTTCCGAGGGTTTTCTGTGGCTGGAAATCACATAGAAGATTCCTCATCTTTCTACCAAGCAATGAGCAGATAATAATCTGAACATTATATTAATAATCATGTTATTATTAGGTGCTGTCAGGTTGAGTACCACCCAGAAGTGATTCCATGAACAACAGATCCAAACCCTGTCCTATCCTGTCCATCCTCATACTTCCTGACACATTAAAGCCCACTGTGGTAGTCACTATGGCTGTCCACTTGGTCAAGGGTCTTCCTCTCCTTTGCCTAACCTCTGCCTTTCTGCGCATCATGTCCCTTTCCAAGGAATAGGCCTTCTTAGTAACATGCCCTAAGTATGTGAAGAAAAGCCTCATCGTCCTTGCCTCCAAAGAGCACTCTGGCTGCATCCTCTCCAAGACATATTCGTTTGTTCTTTTGGAAGTCCATGGGATGTTCAGTGCTCTTCTTCAACATAACAGCTCAAAGGCATCAATTCTTTTGTCATCCTTCTTGTCTAGCTCTCAGATGCATAGCATGCAGGTGGTCAGAAAGACCGTGGCCTGAATCAGAAGCCCTTTAGTCCCCAAACTGACATCATCACTCTTCAGTAATTTGGAAGGGTTCCTAACTGCAGCCTTTCCCAGCGTAATCTCTGCTGCTGAAAATCCTATGAACAGTAGAGGAATAGGAGTGTACTATGTTCAAAACCAGGACCTTAGGAATTTCTTCAGAATGAACTTTATTCTAGCTGAATTTGCCAAAATAAAATAGATTAGCCTTTTCAGAAAGTGGAAGATGATTTGCTAATTTCTTACTAATTCAGTTATTTTTTCTAATTTAGGTATTTTTAATTGTACAACTCCAAAAGTCACTTTTCAGATAGAAACCACAATCCTGTGAATAGTGATCACTACAAGTTGTACAATGTGATTGTTCTTCCTGTAATGTCTTCTGCAAGTACAATGGAACTATTCTTTATTAAAATAATGCCCTAAAACTATATATTTATCTTTACTCTATTTTAGAATCTTGACCTTTTCTTCATCCTCCATTACTTCTGTCACAGTTAAGATTGATGGAGTTCATTTAGGAGAGGCTATTCGTTTGTCTGGTCCTATTTACATACTAAAGTGGAATCCCAGGAACTACAGTGATGGGACACATAACATAGAAGTAATTGTTCAGGTAAGTTAATAATTTTCAACTTGTCATATAAATGAGCAGGCTGTATCCACAGTTAACTTTGATTTAGAAGTTAACTGATCTCAGTCAATTCATAAAGATCAAACTAAGTTTAATTTTAGAAAAGTCAATGCATTATATCTAGAATATGCTGACACTGGATACATCTAGCATAGGTAAATTCATAAGAGACACAAAGGGTAACAACAATGATTACGAGGATGAGGATCTGGGGGAATGGGGAGGAATGGACAGTTACTGTTTAATGGGTTTTATTTAGGATGATAAAAATAAATATAGGTGATGATTATTTAGCAATGTGAATGTATTTAGTACTACTGAATTGTACCTTTAAAACCAGTTAAAGAGGTAAATTATATATTATGTATATGTAACCACAGTGAAAAAGAAAAACTAAAGAAGAAAGCAGCTTTTCAGAGATAACTGAAAAGGTTATTAGAAGCTGACTCATAGAGCATTGGAAATCTTGATATCTTCTGGAGTGTGACTTCTCTGTTGTGCTTGTAACTAGGATTCTGCTGGAAGAAGCAGCACTGCTCAGCACGTATTTTCTGTCAAAGAGGACCTTCATCTCACTTTTGATCCCCTAGCATCACTGATTCTCCTTACTGACCACTATATCGTGGTGAGTGAATTCAACCAAACGTACTGTCTGCTTTTACAGGATTTGGCAATACTAAAGTCCTAAACAATATAGTCAGATAATGAGAAAGGTGAACTTTATGAATAAAATGAAATTCTATGCTTTATATAGAAGAATAAAATGCTTTTAAGTCGATTTGACTTAGAAGGCATGGGGGCCTGGATTAGCAGTAGTTGTAATTTGAGACCTGGTTCTAACAAATGCTGGTAAATAAAACCAGGACAACTAAGAGGATTATAGGACTTATACTGAGTTAGCTTAATGATGGTTCAAAATATCCTTTCCCTCCCATAAAAATATAGATGTTTAATACAGAAAACTTGAGGGGAAAAAGAAATCTATAAAGTCAAATCAGCCTCACAGCTTATATCACATTACCATTATAAACATTGTTTTTCTCTTTATGATATTCTGTATTTCCTTATTTTTCTCTCTCATTTACAATGCCCTTGTGGAGTGGTCTGTAGGGAATTGCACTGCTAACCCATAGGTGGTGGTGGTGGTGGTTGTTATAGCCATAGATGGTACCTCTGTGCACTTCAAATTCACCAGTGGCTCCAGGGGAGAGTGTTGGGCAGTCTCTCCTCTTGTGATTTATAGCCTCCAAAAACCTGGTGGGAAGTCAGCTATGAATTGGTTCTGACTCAGTAACAATGAATTGAGTTGAATTCATTTACATATAAAAATCAAACTTGTTGCCATCAAGGCAGTACTAACTCATAGTGACCCTAGAGGACAGAGAAGAACTGCCTTATAGGGTTTCCAAGGCTGTAAATCTTTCTGGAACAGACTGCCACTCTTTTTCTTTTCTGCACAATTGCTATTGAATTCCAACTGTCAGCCTTTTGATTAACAGCCCAGCACTTAACCCACTATTTCTCTAGAGCAGTATTCTGACACACCTCCAGGTAACAATTTTTTTCTTATATATATATATAAAATGGTATTGTATTTTTTGTTCTCTTTTTGCTGTCTGATTTCTTTCCACTAGAAGATATGTTTTGACCATTTTGTCATATAATTTTATAATATTATTATTGGCTGTATTATATTATCCTAAATATGCCATACTTTATTTCACCACTCTCTTATTGTTGGAAAGTTAAATGGTTTCCAACTTTTTTCTCTAATATAAATAATGCTTGTAATTAAGTTTAGTATATATTACTAACACAGTTATTTAAGATAAATTCCTAGAAGTGACTGGCTGGTTGCAAAAGTATTTACATTAAGGTTTGGGCATGGTTAAAGTACTACTCTATGAATTAAAAGACGTATTGCAATGGGAAAGTCTGCTGTTAGGGACCTTTCTAAAGTACTGAAGAGCAGCAGTGTCTCTCTGGAGACTAAGGTGCATCTGATACAGGCCATGGTCTTTGCAATCACGTGTTATGC